TATATATATATATATATACACACACATATATATATACACACATACACACATGTGTGTGTGTGTGTGTGTGTGTGTGTGTAGTATATTCCTGATCACTGTATGCCTATCAATTACTTTGCATGACTATAAAGTACCTACACTTTTGAAAAGTATGGAAAAAGTTAGAGCTCCTTACAGCTAGTCTCACATACAAAAGCAAGACCCAAATCTTGGTAACTTATTTATTCTTTATCTGTATATGAAGGGGACAGATAAGGGGAAAAAAAAAAAAAAAAATCAGTCCTTCCCACTCATTCATCAATCACATTTCACAGTATCTTATATATAGGAAATTAGCTGTATGAAGCATATTTTGCAAAGTATCAGTAATATTTAGTTCAATGATTTATTTTATCATGAAGCTATCAGGCATGTTTCATGTACTTGAAATTTTTCTTTAGAACTTCAAATCCAACTAGTCCATTATTTCGTTTTCCCCATTTCTGTTGATCTAGTGAGGTTCAATGCTTTCACTAATATTCCACAGCCTCAAGGTACCTCCTCCTACCAACCTCTGACTACTCATTTTGAATAAGTAATGCAAATGCTTCAGTTATTGGCAAGTGAATGCTCAGTAGTCACAGGAATGGGAATGGGCATATCGTTTCACTATTGGAAAAATGATTTCAGTAAACATAACAAATGTTAGCAACCTCAGCCAGGAGGGAAAATTAATTTCAACATAATATTTGCATTAGAATGATTAGCAGATGGCACTCATACAAAGCATCAGTATTGAAGAGCAAGAGTTAATAAAAGGAAGTAGCTTCAGCAGGTCTTGGCAATACTTTCGAGGACTTAAGAAATGCACTCAGTGAACTATACATTAACTATTGCTTTTCCCATTCTACAGTATAATATGAAATCTTATATCAAACAACTTATTAAATAAAAAATAATGGGTTAGAGTCTTTAAAATTATGAAAGTAAGTTAAGTTATTTTCAGGAGGAGAAAAGTTGAAGAGTAGGGGGAAAAAGTATTTTTTGTTTAAAAGACCATTGATAACTGCTCTTAGGTTGCTTACGCTTTCAAATGCCAATTTCTTTTCTCCAGGGCTTTTTGGTGCTGACTGAATCAGCTATTAGATTAAAATGCCAAAAAGCTCTGCTGAAGTGCCCAATATATACAGATGTTGGGTGAGCAAGGTCAAACTAACGTGCTTCCTCCTCCAGTAAAACGCTGTTTTGGGGTTTTTTCACATCTGTCAGCGCTTCTAATGCTCAAACATTATTTGATGCAGAATCTGATTGTAAGTTTAAAAATAATAAAGTAAAAACCCTGATAAATATAGAAATCCCTTGCAATCCAGTGATATATCCGATTTTGTGTCCAAAGTGTAACAGTGCAGAATAGGAGACTTTATTGTAGGTTCTAAATGCAAGGAGAATAAGAGAGCTATATTTTTCTTTAGAGAAAAAAATAACAGCATTTGAAAAAATCTATTAAATTTTAATAGGAAAGTCAACTATCTTTGTGAGAGTTTTCTAATCCTGTAGAATATGGAAATGCTGAATAAAAGGTCACAGTCAACATGGGCAGTTAAATATATCAAGAACTTCCTCTTCCAGTATGTCAACTATGCATGCAATTGCCTACACAGTCTCTGAACCTCTAGTGAGATGATGAGCATCCTTATTCCTCACTGACTGCAATGGAAGTTAAGGCTAAAACCCATACCAAATTAAACTCTAAGGGCATTTATGCACATGCTATGAGAGTGGTGGCAGGTAGGGAGCACTTTAGAGAGGCTCCAAGATACTTTCTAATTAAAGCGTCTGGAGCATCACACACATCAGCGTCCCAACGCTGAAAAATGGCGGCAGGGTTGCTTTAACTAAAACTCATCGAACAAGTTTTAATTATAAGTGCCACCGCAGCCTTTTTGCAGAGCAAGGACGCCAATACGTGCGACACTGGAGTCAGCTCTGACACGCTGTAATTACAACACATTGGAGCAGCCCCGCTGCACGTGTATAGGTGCCCTAAAATACCACTCTATTTGGTGTACATCATACACTTATTTTCCTTTAGCTACTTCATTCAGAGATTGTACTTTTATAAAACAGAAGTAATTTATGAAATTCACGCTACCTGCTGACTGCAATATCAGCCATAAAAAATATAAATCAATCCAAATAATCTGCGCTTGCCTTTGCTATTCAGATTCCAAATTGAATGTATTCTGTTGATCATACAGATTTCAGGAATATTAAAAAGTCTTACAAATCTTATTAACATAGCAGTTGTAATTATTCAAACACCACAAAATGCTAGGTTGCTTACTAGAATGCAACTTTTTAGATGTGTTTTTAGCACAATAGCAATTTCTCTCTCAACCTATATATGAGAGGAAGTTTATTTCAAGAAAGTTAAGACATCCTTCAATTGCTCAAGTATTCATTGAGGATGGATAATTTGTTTTTAGACTGAACTAATATTGATATTATCCAATTGAATTTCTTTGAACTTCATTTTAATTATCATAATCAAGCATGCTTTAGGTCAGAATCAGTATTTTGTTGATCTCTTAAGAAAATCTTAAAAATTAAAAGATTAAGTAAGCTATGGACACTCAGAAATTAGGTAAATTATCTAAAAATCTGTCCCAAAATATGTATTCAAAGGAATTCCTATTTTAAAAAGATCCTCCCTGAGAGATGGTCAATATATTTTCAAATAAAACATTTCTTTCAGAAAAGTGGGTCTCAAAAAAAGGAAATATTTTAAATACAAAACTCCAACTTCTTTCCCTCCCCCCTTTTCAGTAGCATAATATAAAAACAAAACAAAGAATAACCAAAAATGAAAGTCAATAAAAATGTGTGAACTTTCTATAAATCTTACTTATATTTTCATGAAAATGTTAAATTGTCCCTTTTCAAAACATGTGGAATGAAAATTGAAAAATGGAAAAGACAGCAATTTTTGAAGCAATCAGCAATAATTATCTCTCTCTCAGAATTTTCTATCACTCAATAAGATCCTCCTCTCCAAACCACACACACTAAAATAGCTGTTTAATGTGGTCTCCTCTAACAGATTAACTGGACCTTCTAAAAATTCATAGTCAGCACTCTAGCAGCCTGTTTGCCATCATGGCACTTCTACTGAATCTGAACAATAACTTCCAATATAGCTGTGTCATTCTAAATAGTTGTAACAGAGACCTGTTCTCCTGATGTTGGAAAAGTTTTCTATGACTACTGGGACAGTTCTTTGGCTAACAGCCCTCAGGTGAATGAAGCTACCACCACCATTTGTTTCTTTCTCTTGATTGGCATGCAAACCCTTTCTGATGGCAGCATTCCTTGAAGACTTAACAGAAGTGGAAACTGACCTACCTTTACTCCTTATTTCAAAGGAGAAGTTCTACTTAAAATTAATATTCCAATGTGTGGTGAATGTACTATGTGATTTTTGATGCTGAAACTCACTGGAGTCATAAGCAGAATCAATAACCAATTTTTGTTTCACTTGAAGTACAAAAAATTACAGAAGTGTTTTGTTTGGCATACGTGATTCTTCTGGGCTTTCAAAGAATGTGTTAATTATCTTTAATACTGAACTATATTAAAATTAAAAAATGAATCAAAAGTTAAAACAAGTTCTGAATAAATTATAGCTTTTCCTATCAAAACAACTCAGGAAAAATTAACACTAATTTATTAAATATTTCAGTTGTCCCAGGTCTTAATTTTTTGAAAAAAATAGTTGCTGCTAAAATGGTTTTGCATAGTTCTAGTCATTAGGAGTGAATTTCACTTTATAAAAATCAGAGGACCAAAATCACCACATGATGGTCCTTCACTTTTTCTGGAGGCAAGACCCTATGTGCGTGATGTAACACTTAATACATTCTCTCTAGGCCACCAATCTGATGACCCTGGACTGAAGCCTTTTCTTCTGGAACCTGTTAGCCTTACAGGAGCTCTCCTGGGTACGGGAGGAAGGAGGATGCACCCTGCTAGATAAGACAGGCAGTTACTATTTTCTTACCTCTTTCTCTACTTTCTCAAGAGTGTCTGAAGCACCTGATGACCCTCTGGGAGCTTTCTAAAGTCAATCAGCAGCAAATAGATATCCAACAGAAATAGGTAGCCACTAACCCTTTCATCCTAAGCTAAAAACACTTTAAAACATGAGTATCTTCTGCACAAATGAAGCATGTCTCTGATGGACTACCTAAACATACCAGGAGGAATTTACAAAATGCCTCTGTGAAGAGCTTTAATCTTTTTACAGGACTTTGAGGGACAGCAAGGAGTGACATTCCTAAGTATATCTGCTCTAGCTGCTGAGCCATGAAATAGCCTTACTACTACTTACCAAGTCCTCCAAAAATAATCATAAAATCAAAGAGGTATAATTAAAGATTGAAAAGGGCATAACACATATTTCAGGGTAACCATCTTAAAGTCTGTATTCTGCTGCTGAATTGGATTTGCTGGATAAAAACCCCTTAATTATGAAGAATAAGAACATTATAAAACATTACAATTCAAACATTCACCGTCTTCAGAACAGTTTTTTTATATAAAGTAAAACAGGCTGCTTCTATGTATTAAAAAGAAAATTGCAAAGACAAACTTACTGGAAGATAACCATAGCTCTCAAACATTCAATTCTGAAACTTCAAGTAAAAAGTATGAGCTATAAATTCTAATGACAAACCTACAATTATAGTAATTTCTAATTAGGAGAAGATCTTTTCTAAGCACATAAAGCACAGTTTAGCTAGATCAGCCTGGACAAATATATATATATAACCATATATTTATCTGTATATTTACATACGTCATTCATTATGGTATGCTGCCTATTTACCTTTTGCCGCCTTTTTTCCTTTCGTTTATCTTCAGTATCTTGTAACATTTTCTCTTTCCAAAGATCAAAAAAATAGGAGGGATCAGTATAGAACTTCAACCCATCTTTCTTATCATCTCTGCAGACAAAATGAAACAGAAACTAAGAGAACATAATTTTTTTTTGACTTGCAGGATTCAGTCATTTAAGCTTAAGGACCTTTTTCATAATATATAAGTGTAGCTGGGCAAATACAGTATACAGCACAATTTTAATTCATCAGTTCAGAAAGAACTCTAGAGTAACATCATTTCTGTAAAAGAAATGTACATATACCTAACACAATAGGAAAGAAAATAACACAACCAAAAAACTTCTCAGTTATGCTGTCATACAGAACACCAAAGTGTATATAAGCATATAATTATGCAAAACGTATGTTTGGTGCCCAAAACTCATTATCATCTCAGTACCCATAAACAACCAAATAGCAACATTTTATATTCTGCACAGGTAACCTAGCTAAATGTTCAGCAATTAAAATTATTTATAATTCTAACTTCAAGGTAGTGATATGTAAAAATAATCTTCAATCATGCTGATGTGTCATTTAGATAGACATTTTTTCTGATAAGTTACTAAAACTTGACAGATGCTGCATAGTCAAAAACTACAAGGCACACGTATAACTAGTGCTAGGTCATGGACAGGCATTACATGTGTAGTGCTACAAAAGCTGAAGAGCCAGATGTGCACACCCCCTGCAGCTCTACACAAATGTTGCAGATGTTACAGAAATGTTCTTGGAAGAAATGGGAACTTCTGTCATACTACCTTTTGGAGTGCCACGTACAACATGTGTCCAGAGCACCACAGTGGTACAGGGTCTCTTGGTTCTCCAGCATCCCACACCACTTTGCTGGATGGAGAGAGAGGAGCATGTACAACCTGTCTGCTCCCCAACCTACCCGTTTCCCCCGACTGGGACCAGGGTAGCAGTAAGTGCAGGAATGGGGTCATACATAACCAGCTCTAACAGCCCAATCTCAGCTGGACCGCAGCTCTGCCTACCATGGATAATCCTGGTCTCAGTCCAGGTTCCATGCTTGCTGACATCCTAGTCTCAGGGATTCACAGTTGTCAGCGAGTGTGGAACCAGGATCACACAAACAGCCTGGTAAGAGAGTAGCGTCACAGGGCCAAGCAACCCTCTAACACTCCCTGGCTGGAAAGCATGTTGCTGAATGCTTCACAGTGACTTTACAGTGTTCCAGCTAGCAGCTCTGCATGTCTGTCTGTCCACACCTGTAATACTACATTTTCAAAGTGCTTCAAAGTGCTGTAGCGTTTATGTTGATATCAAAGTAACATCAGTCCATGAGCTTTGTTTTATTCAACAGCTTCTCATACTGTAGCAACCTAATACCCAAAGAAATTTAAGGGATGAACTAAAAATGCTGTAAGTTCATATGGCTTTAAAAGGAGACCCCTACATTACAGACTACTGCAAATCTAATGGAAACTAGGGAATGAAGTGCTACTTCTACTGCTTACCAGACCAGTTTATTAGCCAGGAAAAAGTAAGGTGAAAAGGAGCAAAGCAGAAGCAAAAAGATCTCACAATGACTGAATAAAGTAAAACAATAATCATTATATTTCTCAGCCTTCACTTACATAAGTCAGTGACAACCTCATTTAGTTTCCTGCTACTACCTAGTACAGGGATTGGCAACCTATGGACCAGATCCAGTCCACAAATGGATTGGATTCTGCCTGTGAAGGTTTGATCCAGTCTGCGTTTTACTACGCATGTGCTGACTCCCCAACTGTATGATGCAGTCTGCAATTTGCTAATAGCGTGCCCACTACCTCTGGCTGATCCACCCAGCTGTTTTAGCTCACAGAGGGCTGATCTTCCTTGCTGCAGCCTTTACTTATTGTCACTAGAGTGAATGGAGGGCTATGTTGAAAGTCTCTGGGTTAGGGTCAGAGGGGAGAGCAACAAGGGTTATACTGTGGTGGGATCTATTATAGACCAGGAGGATGTGATGGATGAGGCTCTCTTCAAACAACTAAAGGAAGTTTCTTGATCACAAGACCTGGTTCTCACAGGGGACTTCAATCACCCTGACATCAGCTGAGAGGGCAATACAGCAATGCACAGGAAATCCAGGAAGTTTTTGGAGAGGGTTGGGGACAACTTCCTCGTACAGGTGCTGGAAAGGCCAATTAGGGGCCATGCTCTTCTTGACCTCACAAACAGGAAAGAACTGGTGGGGAATGTTGTAGTGGATGGCAACTTGGGCAGCAACAACCACAAGATGATTGAGTTCACGATCCTGAGGAAAAGATAGAAGGAGAGCAGAAGAATATAGATCCTGGACTTCAGAAAAGCAGACTGACTCACTCAGGGAACTCATGGGCAGCATCCCCTGAGAGGACCATCTGAGGGGGGAAAAGAGTCCAGGACAGTTGGCTGTACTTTAAAGAAACCTTACTGAAGGTACACAAACAAAAAATCCAAATGTGCAGAAAGACTTGCAAGTATGGCACAAGACTAGTCTGGCTTAGCAGGGAACTCTTCAGTGAGCTAATACACAAAAAAGAAGCTTTTAAGTGGAAACTTGGACAAACAACTAGGGAAGAGTATAAGAGTATTAGTCAGGCATGCAGGGGTGAAATCAGCAGGGATGCATGTGGCCAGGAATACAGCCCCAGGTATCAGCTGAACACAATGTTTTATTGGTATATTTAAAATTTTAAAGCAATTTGGAAGCATATCAGTGCCTCACTCATTATAATAAAGTGAATTCTCATATTTCCTAAGTGAAGTAAATTTTATGTATAATATATAAATGAAATGCTGCTATCTATTGAGAGAGAGAGAGTGTGCACACACACAAGAAAGCAGCATTTCATTCTAATCATAGAAAAACATGGATTTTGTGTTTTTATTTAAATCAGAGAATTTGGGATTTTTAAACAGAAAACTAGGATCCCATAAAAATCAGGAAGACCAAAGCAAAACTGGAGTTGGAGCTAGCAAGGGACTTGAAGGGTAACAATAAGGGTTTCTACAAGTATGTCCAACAAAAGGAGGACCAAGGAAAGTGTGGGTCCTTTACTTTCCCTGATGGGGGAGGCAATCTAATGACAAAGGATGCAGAAAAGGCTTAAGTACTTGTACCTTTTTTACTTCCGTCTTCACAGACTACTGCACCTGGCAGTACACTTTGGGGAGAAGGTAAGCAGCCAAGAACAGGTTACAGACTATTTAGAATAGCTGGATGTGTACAAGTCCATGGGGCCAGACAGGATGCACCCAAAAGTGCTGAGGGAGTTGGCCAATGGGACTGCAGAGGTGCTCGCTGGCCATAATCTTTGAAAACTCACGGAGATGGAGAGAGGTCCCAGACAACTGGAAAAGGGCAAATATAGTACCCATCTTTAAGAAAGGGAAGCAGAAGGATCCAGAGAACTACGGACCAATCAGTCTCACCTCAGTCTCTGGAAAAATCATGAAGCAGGTCCTCCAGGAATCTATTTCTAAGCACATGGAGAAGATGGTGATTAGGAACAGTCAGCATGGATTCAACCAAAGGCAAGCCATGTCTGACCAACCTGATTGCCTTCTATGAGATGACTGGCTCTGTGGATGCAAGACCAGTGGATGTGATATACCTTGACCTTAGCAAGGCTTTTGACACTCCAGGTTGAGCCACTGGCTAGTTTCAAAGGTGATCTGGCTTAGGGCTCACATGTTACCAGCAAATTACTGAAGCAGATGCTATATAGTATGGGTGGTAGTTTTCAGTTTATTTTCAGTATGCATATCCACTTACCTACTGGTTACTAAGTGAAGAATTCCCAATATTGCAGACTTACTACAAAAAAAATCAGCCAGCTCTACCTTCTAGTTTCAAAAGTTCTTTACATATAATAAGAAAGTTCTGTATGTTCATGAAACAGTTATTTCTAGACATCATAAAACTACTACCAATGCTTTTAAAAAGTACCAGTTGATATAAGCCACCATTTTAATAGCATTACTGCTCCCTGGGTAGTGCTCATTATATTACTAGACTGGCCCATGTGGTCAAGAAAAGGACTTATTTGCACAGGCAGGCATGTAATTAAGATGTTTGTCTATTACAACATCCAGAGATGTTGTTTTGTTATACCAGTCATCAGCTAAGAGCCTTTAGCATGGCTATAACTTACAACACTACCAGGAGTTTGATAATACCAACATTTCACATATAGATAAACCAAGGCAGAGGTTAAGAGACTTTCATAGTTTCTAGGGTCGGAAAGGACCTTAGCAGATCATCTAGTCCGAACTTGTCCAAGACCATAGAGGATGTTATTACAGAGATAACATTCAGAACTTAGAGAAGTGCCTGGATCACAGTTCCTGTGCTTGGACTATACATCTTCTATATCAAATATTTACATATCTCCTTCTGTTTGCAAAGTGCTGAAAATCAACCTTTATAAAGTTATGTCAAGGGGCTATTTTCACACTGACGGTAAAACTTTCCAAAAAAAAATCAACATTACTGTTTACTTTTCAAATACAAACTATATTAATGCCTATGAATTAGTGAATTAATGCAGCTAAATCTGATAGGAATTTGCATTATTTGTTTCTCCCTATGAGTCATTTACCCAATCTTGTCTACACTGCTCATTCTATATCTACAATTAAATGACATGACCAAGAGTTTAGGCATAGAAAGTATCCATACCTATATGGTGTAAGAATATTCAATGGAGGTGGTTTGTCACTCTGATTGTAAATGTCAGCCACTGGGTTAGGAATACTATTCTTTGAAACCACCTGCTGGTCCTGTATTGTTGAACTTTTGAATGCTTTTTTCATATTGATATCCTGTAATGATACTGTTGAAAAGAAAAAAAACATTCTAAAAAAGAATTTGACATTATGACAGACTGAAAATCATCTCATTTTTAAATATTCAATTTTTCAATAGTTAATTGGTGAAATTATTTTACCACATTTTTCAATATACATATATAGTAGCAAAATCCACAACCACTCACTCCATGACTACTTAACTTCTCTAACAGTCTTTAAACAGATGGAGGACTTAGGAATTATAGTTGCAATTTCAAGCCCTTTCACCTGACCAGCACATATAAGATATACAAACATTTGGTTCTTGACTATCAATTCCCTTTTTTTTTCAAAACCTATTTGCACATGAAATGCTGTGATGAGAATTACAGATGGTTATTTCTATTGTACACACAAGGCTATATTTTAATTTTAAACCACAATTTTCAAAAGCACACAGAGATGACTCAGGTGTTTAAGTCTCACTGAAAGTCAAGATATATGGACTTTTGAAAATGTTATCCTGGATGATAGGCTCTCCTATTCACTACAGTATTTTCAGCCACAACATTAAAATGAAACTTTCCTAAAAATGTAAATGCATTTCCTCTGCTATTAAAGTTAATGAGAATAAAATGGTGTTTTTAAAAGTGATTAGTAATTGATTTTACTGAAATGAGCTTTAGGGAGCCAGAAATATACATTTACTTTTAGCGTCAATCATCTATCCCAATGCCATGTGGGTTACTGCACAAAATCAATTCTCAGAACCAAGGAATTCACTGAAGCTTCCAACTGAGACTCAAATGGTATTAAAATAATGTGTGTACTGTTTATTAATTTGAATGGTTATTAGCAGCATAGAGAAGCTATAGGGAAGATTCTGACAGAAGCCTTCTACAACATTTGTACCTAGTCAGTTAAAGCAGATTGGCTCCACCTTCTAAAAACAGAAGATAAACTGTCCTTAGTGGCTTTCTAAAGCTCTGGGGGGCAAGCAGGAAATTATTTCATGATGGAACATATAGACTGATGAATTTAACTGAAAGTTTTGTGGGAAGAGAGGTGGGTGAGGGAGTTTAATGAATTTAATGCTCTCAAAACATTTGAAG